ATCTATCTGTGTGTGCGACATTAAATGCTCGTTTGGTAACGTTTTAATTTCTTGTTATTTTTTAGAAACATACATGTTTGGTAACCAATTATATTTCTCGTTTCTAAAATTTGATAAACGTTCCCCCCAAAAGTTACTATGTTGTTTCGTTTGTTCTGTTTCTTTTTCTTGGTCTCGGGTTAAGTAATACATTGTGTAATTATAAGCAAAATTGATCAATAGCTCTGCTAGTGTAGGTGCGCACAAGTATCCTATAATTTGGTTTGATTATCATAAATATTAAGTTTTATTTTTTTTAAATATTTTCTATTTCTTTTTTTAAAATATTCTTTTTAACTTAAAAATATTTATTCTATTGAAAATTTATTATTTATCTAAACCTACTCAATTAGACTCCTCAATCCAGAAATATATATTGTAAATTATATTTTCTTTTAATTTATACTTTTTAATATATATATATTATAAATATTTTATATTTTTTAAGTTAAAAATGTTGATGCAAAAAATCAGTGAGGTTCATGTGTCCTTCAAAATGGTGACCGACCGCCGAATAAATGAGTCTGCAACAATGATTCTCGATACTCGACACTAGTGCAATGTTGTGTCTAATGTTCTCCAACGATTAAGTTGGTAATCAGAGTAAGGAAGAGCAAAGAGCAATTAAGAGCACCTAAATAAATTAGTGACATATTTTTCACTTACTTGGTGGTTGTGATGATCTATCCCTTTTATAGGCGTTCAGGGTTGACTAGGGAGGACATGTAGCATGCGACAAGGTGGGGCTCACCATCGTAGGAGATTATGGCACGTCGTTAGGGAACATTCTCGGCACGTGGTGCTACCCCGTCGCCTTGTCGCCCTATTCCTCTGCAGACTGTCAGCTGCAAGAGGTGTCGCGCCTCTCGTAAACTACCATGGGTACCTACATCGCTCCCTCTTCCAGTCGTACGCCAATCGTGGGTGTTATAGTCCCCACTGCTAGCTGTCGTCACTCGAACCTCACACATGTGTCTAGCTCGATTGTCACCCTCAACAAAAATATTTTGAAAATTTAATCATTATTTTAGTCTAATAATTTAGATCATCAAAGAAATATATATTGTAAATTATATTTTCTTTAATGAATTATATTTCTTGAGTATACGTTATATCTTCTTATATTAAATCTACTGAATTTTAGTTTAACTAAAAATTTAAAAGAACTCAATATTTGTTCTAAGTATACATCCCGATCAAATATGTCATAATTTCGAATCCCTACCTCCACAAGTTGTTGTAATTAATATATATATATATATATATATATATATATATATATAATTATCAAACATATTTTTGTTTCTATTTTTTTTTCAAGAAACAAGAAATAAAAATGATCACTAAACGTATTCCTGTTTTTAGTTCTAAAAAAATTACAAATAGAAAACAAAAAATAACAAACAACAAACAACAAACGAAAATGTTACCTAACTAGCCCTAAGCAACTACAAGAGCATTAACCTCAGATTATTGAATCGGAAATCACTTTGTTAATAAAAAATACATGAAGTCCCAGAGTTTATACTTTCGTCTGCTACATATTAGTCTTAATATTTACCAATCATAAATACTAATTTGTTGAAAAAACTTGATATGCAAAAATGAAGATTGAAACTTTTTAAGTATGAAATTAAGGAATTGAAACTTGTCAAATTTTCTAAAAATGGCAAGGATATATTATTCTTTTAAAAAATTGCTCGTTATCAATATTTTTATATTGTATAATATAATATGAATAAAGAAAAACGTATATGATTGATCAAGAACACATTTTCTTTATGATTTAGTATTAAAATTTCATAGAAGCTCACACATCGACATGTCATTATTTCAAACTAATAGTGAAATTATATATTTATTAAATTCAAGACCAATTTCAAATTAATATGTGTTTCCAAATTAAATTTAAGATATAAATTTGACCGGTCAATTTATATCAATATATTATTATATTATGTCACGAGATAGTTAGATTAAAGTCAAATAAGTTCAAGTCCACCGAGATTAATTGGATTAAACTCAAATAACATAAGGGAAAACAAAACCCGAAATAATTCAAATATACTTGAGGGAATTAGGTCAAGCCCAAATAAGCCCATATCCAAAAGTTAGGTCCAAAGTCAATCAAGTCTAAATCCAAATAAGGCCCAATTTTTATTTTTTTTTTTTTTTTTTTTTTTATAAATAGATGAGCTACCAAATTTAAAAGTTTAGAGAATACTCCCAAAGATTAAAAACTCTCAACAACTTAAAAGAACATCTAATTTTTGAAGGTCAAAGAGCATAGCTCAGTCGTAATTGACATATACCTCTAACCATGAGGTTGTGAGTTCGACAAATTCAATCTCAAGAGTAAGCTTTTTTAGAGATCGTAACTATTACAAATTTTAAAATATAAGTTTATAGGGTGGGTAATTGAATATTTAATCTTTCTTTAGTTGACGTATTTTAATACCCAGATTACTTAAAAAGAAAATATACATATATATTATTTAAATAAACAAACACGTTAAATATTAAAAAGAATAATTATTAATATTTAATTAATGGATGTTGTGTCAAGAAAATGTTAGGGATATAAAAAATATATGAAATTTGAATAGAAATTGTTAATTGAAATATATTTTAATATGTTTTTAAAAAAAGTAATATATTTTTATTTATGAAATATTAAAATATAAGATTTGGTTTTGCCTCAGACTATGTCATAAATCTCTATAAATAGATCATTGTATTAAATCTAAATAAGAATCTTTTTAAAAATCTTAAAATTCTATGTATTTTTTTTCCCTAAAAGCTCCAGTTGGATTTCGTTTCAAAGGTTCCTCCCAACCTTAGACTCGAGGTTTGGTTTCAATTTGCTGTGAATATAATAAAATTGAGATTTTTTTGTGAGGTTAAATCGCGGAATTTACACCTTCAAAATTTTTATTTATACATGTATGTAAATAAATTGTGAATATGAAGTTTCCTTCGGGTCCCAATTCCAATATGATCCCCATGTCTCATTAGCCCATACTGCCCAGAAAGAATACCTATGCTCAAAATTGATTTTTTGTGGTGTCGTAGGATGAATCTTATTATAAAAAATATCACAGAGAGAAAAAAAAAATAACAAATCTAAGCAAACAAACAACATAATAATGAGAGCATCTTGAGTTAGATGAAAAATAAAAACCCATTCATGAAAATAAATCCAAACAGTATCAATATTCAGGAATTATCACTCCCATTAGAATTGACAAATCTGGGAGAGATCCAAAATTTGAAGAAGAGATAAAAGAAAAAGAGAGGAGGTAACAAACTGCTAATCTTCTGGAGTAGTCATAATCTGCGCAACGTAATGATTCCGCTGCTTAAAAGAAAGATACTGTGTCGGGTGATTTGGAATCCTCTGAGGTAACTTAAATAGGGTGACAATCGGACACACACATATACATCACTTATTACAAGATGTAAAATAACCCGAGTCGAACGACGGACATAACGGAGTAGGTTTTGGGTTTTTTTTAGTAAGTTGATCTTAGTTTTCTTTTCAATATGTTCTCAGAGCTTACCTTCTAATTTAAATTTCAAGCCCAGCCCAATCTCAACACTTGGATTTTCAACATTTTTTTGGGCACGTCAGCTTCAAAATCGCCTCTTTCGCTGACAGCTAGTTCGCCGATTTCTTGGCTATGAGGATTTTATTGTAGAAACTAGAGTTTTCATCACCTGCTTTGCTTTGCAATTTTTTGGGATTTTATTTTCTTTTATCTTTTAGGATTAAGGTGAGAAATGATTTCAAATTTCAAAATTTAAAATAATGAAAATGAAAAGAAAATATAATATTTTACGGTTATGCTATAGTTATACTTTAACATGATATTATATTAATAATACTATAATATTTTAATATGAAATAGTAATATCAATCACATATAGAAATGAAATCATTTAATCAAAATCAAGATATACTAAATTATACCTTGCTAATAAAATTTAAAAAATAAACCTTGTAAACAATTATTTTTTTAAAGAAAAACATCGAAATTTGAATTATTTCAAATCTAAAATAAAAAGAAATCCATATATATATATATATTTTCCTTTTAGTGCAACCTCTCACTGATTTTATTTTTATTTTTTTAACAGGATCTTTTGATAGAAGAGAGAATTTCATGAAGAAAAACACAAGGGGACAAAAAATTACAAAAATGCTTTTAGAAGAATTTATTAAGAAATTTTAAATGTATTTTGCCTTCAACAATAATTCAGAAAAATGTTCTTAGAGACCGAGAAAAAAAAGTAGTTTGTTTGAATGAATATTTAACCATGTATCTGGGTAATTTAGAATGAGATTCTTTTTAATTTCAAATATTGACAAATCTGAGCTATTTGGAATGATTTCAAATTTGTTGTGATTAAAATTTTTTTTTCCAAGCAAACACAGTAAATAATTTAAAATTATTTCTGATTTAACAGATCCTAGTTCCAAATAGATGGTAAAAGTTATTTTAAAAAAGAACAAAAGTAAAAGAAGTGGGATTCAATCACAAAATCCTTGTTTTTATAGGGGTGAGACACCGAACCCAACCGAAAACCGACCCGATTCAAAGCGGTTCGGGTCGGTTCGGTTTATCCAAAAAACAGAAAATTT